ACAGAGAGATGCAGAGACTGACCTGCAGCACAGTCCTATGATGAAGAGCACAATAGCTGTCAGGTCACACTTGTTCCACATGTCCTGGATGTACACCTTCATCCTCTTGAGCACTGACAGATTGCCGATGAAGAAGGTCTGAGAGAGGACAAGGCCGTTAATACAGCACTATGGTACTGGACTTTAGCTGTACTCAACACCCAGTGCTGAGAAAGAGGCTTTGTAGAGCATACAGAGTACAAAGTAAAGTAGAATCGATTATTCTTTAGTTCCTGCAACTTTTTATACATTTTGTGTCCATTGCTAATCCGTTCTATTTGTGGTTTTTACTGACAAATAACAGAGGCAATCGATACATTTGATTTTTTTAGCAAGTTCATAGATCCAAAGATGAGTTCCTAACTATGCTGGCCGGAGTAAAATTCTTAAATAACAATAACTAAACCCACAATACCTGTCGTATCTCTTCACAGACTAGGGTAAACACCCAGAAGTACAGGAACAGCTCCTTGGGGGAGGGCCCGTCTGGGGGGGGCTGCTTGAAGTCAACCAGCAGGACCGATGCGAACAGCAGCAGGAACAGGAAGTACATCAGCACGTTTCCCAGGAAGGAAGTGACAGGCGCAAACCAGAACTGGCGCCAGCGGGCCACCACGTAGGGGCGGGGCTTCCCCGGGCTGTGAGCCGGGCGGTCTGGGGAAGAGCCAGCGGGAGAGACGGAGATATTTACAGACAGACTTCACCGGTATGACTGTCCTGACTGCTGGAGTTCCGATGTGGGATCCCACATCATCAGCCAATGACTCTGTCAACATACGAAACTGATCCGCGAGTCAAGGACTGGGGCCGGTCCTAAGACAGACGGACAGGCCCATCGCGGACTCTCCAGTACACTTCACGAGCTCACGAGCTGGGGTGAAGAGACCTCAGTAGCAGTTGAGTGATTGAGATTGTTGTGAAATGGGCAAAAATACAGGTAATAAAATAATACACACACAGTAGGAGGTCTGAGCCTTAACCCCAAGATATGAGACTGTTTAATAAGGTTCCTGTATTAAAAACATCAACTAAAGTATCGGTGTTGTTGTGCTGTAGTGGTAACGTTGTATGAAGACTTGAGAGAAGAGAATGAGCCTGCAGGAGACACCTCCAGGAAACACCGGCGCCTGCATCTCATCAGCGTGGGCTTTTCCAGGGATTGTACAGCGTTCTCCATGTGCTTCTTAATGACACATTTTAATTTCTACTCCAGGAAATTTCAGTGTTTAACATTGTATCCATTTCCTTTCTGGTCAGGACAGATGTTTCAGTGATTTAACATCTCCTCCCAGACTTGTCTTGATCATGACATCAGGACTAAGGGCTTTGACTCACTGTCCGGCCCGCTCCAGAGTGCAGTTACATTGTCTAACCTGATTATCTCAAAACCCATGAACACAAGATATAATCAGCCAGAATAAGCTGGATGACATAGCGACAGGTTTGGGGTTAGTGTTGGTGCTATTCCAGTGGTACAGGTAGGTCATAGCGAATGATTAGTCATTCCGATACATATAGGCTGTTCTCAGTTTATGCCAGTACAGGGCAACATGAAGTTATGTTAAACTTTAAGTTAAGTTAGATTTTTTTTTCATAAAGGCTGAATATGCAGTGAGATGTTAGTCTTAATTACAATATTAAAACATGGGTTAGGGTTAGGGCAGCCTCGACCAGACACAGAGAGCAGTCAGATGGGCTAAGAAACCTTGTCACATTTTGTAATTAGTATAGTGTCTTATGTAGAATTGGTTGTCCCATCGATAAATTGGAATGAACAGAAACAGAAACTACATACAACATGTAGACTGTTCTCCATACACTGAGGTAATGAGGCTCCACACAGCACTCACCTCTAGGTTTCTCCTTGAGAGACTCAAGTTCCTCCATTTCTTCTGGACTGTAAACAAAACCACATATGGTTACCACACTGTAAACACAACACCATCATCACACACCACTACCACACAAGGACTGCTCTAACGCACAACATCATCACACTGTAAATTAAATGCAATGCCTGGAACTGAAATGGAGGTGTCATCTTGAGGGCTGGTTCTCATACCAATGTTTGACTGTATTCGAACATCCTGCGTCTTTTTCAGCACTTCTTCTTACTGCCTGGATGAGGACATTGACCAGTCCTCATAACCACCTCTATCATTTTTAATTCAGTGCCACTGATCGACAGAGGGGAGAGACAGACAGCTCATGAGACGGTGCACTTACTTTTTCGTAATGTCTTTCATGGAGAAGATGGTGTCTCCATCACAACTGTCCAACTCCTTGGCCTGCGGCTCTTCATTCTTCACCTCCTCCTCTACCTCCCTGCAAAAAAACAAAAGATTGTATCAGTAGCAACATCCACCACAGCAGCAGAGAGCCAGACAGCTCCCACAGCACCAGACAGGGAGAGAGACAGTGGCCTATCGGTGATGTGGGAGAGAGAGACTGACCTGTACTTGATGAGAGAGGTGTACACCAGTGGAGGGCAGAAGAATGTGGCGATTAACTTCCACACCTCAGTGCTGCTGTCCATATCTCCCCACCATATCCGTGTCAGTAAGGCCTGTGGGACAGAAGAGGAGACAGACGAGGGTCAGGGTACAGATTCTTCATAGCTGATTTGCATTTTTCTTCTGCCCCCTGTTATTTGTTTTATATGTATTTTTACACATTTAAACATGTGTCCTCTGGTTTGTGTTTCACTGCTGATGAAGTGGATGATGCAGACACTGTCAATGTCATTGATGATTTTAAATGCTTGAGTCAAGTCCTAGTGTTACTCACTTCAGAACTACAGTGATTAATTTCCTTCAACCTGTCAGTGTAAGACACTCCTCTGAATCCAGGAATGTAAAAATATAGTTTCTCTCACCGCAAAGGAAGTCTTATTTGTGGATATAAGTCTTATTTAAACAGTCCTCAATGTGAAACAATATTTAAACTCTCTGTCCCAGTGGCGTTTGCCTTTTTTGCATCCCTATGCAGCCTGTGAGGTTACAATTTGTCCCTTGTATGCCGTGAGCCTCTGTGTGCGTAAGTTGCATACACAGTAAATTCTGAGTTTGCCCTGCACTATAACCAGACCAATACATTTCTTTTGACTGCCGTAGTGTTCTGACCTGAGATGAAAGATGTTTACTGACAGTAAATAAAACTGCAGCTCTTTGATTTTTTGCATGATGTTGAGTCAACCAGTTATCAAGCCATGAGCAGACTCCCCAAGCTCAGTTTGCCCTTCAGTATTTATACTTTGTGTTTGTACTTGGGGAGGAGCGGTGGCTCTGTGGCTCAGGATCTGCGCCTGTGGCTGGAAGGTTGCCAGTTCAAATCCTGCGGCCAGCAGAGGAATCCTACTCCACTGGGCCCCTGAGCAAGGCCCTGAACCCCAGCTGCTCCAGGGGCGCCGTATAAAAGGCTGACCCTGTGCTTCTCTCCCTGTCTGTGTGTCTCATGGAGAGCAAATTGGAGTCTGCGAAAAGACAAATTCCTAATGCAAGAAATTGTATATGGCCAATAAAGTTATCTTATCTATAATTTTGCTACCTGCATGTAACACCCTGTACTTCTCTGGTTTAGATATCTTGCAGGTGTTTGTTCTCTTGAAATTAGTTTCTTTTGCAGCCTCTGCCTTGTTTCCTCCTTGTTTTCTGTACAGTAGAATTGACTTGTTTCCAAACTTGACTTTTTTCTTTGATAGAAATTAGGAAAATTAGTGGTCCTGATACAGATCCTAAGCTTATGCCACTAATTACATCAGCCTATCTAGGGCACGACCTCCTTATCTGAACCATCCATTTCTTGTCCATTAACCAATTTGAAATCCAAGTACATGCATTTCATTAAGAGCCAACTGCTTGTTTTGAGAATCAATCTTTTATGAGGAACCTTATCATAAAAGATGAAAATCGCAATGCCCTGTATGTATCCCTCACTGCTGTTGCTTGTTCAAAGAGCTCCAGCAAGGTAGGCAAGTCCTAGCTTCTCTGGATCCATGACGACTTTCCCTAAGGATCTCACTGCCATAGAGATGGTCCCCTAGTCACAGATGTTCCCAGAAGCGTGTGGGCCAGGGATCGGTGTGCTGAGTGAGCACAATGACGTCGTGGCTCCTCTCTCGAGACACTGGCGCTGTGTGGTTCCGGTTTGGGCAGCAGGGGCAGAGCAGAGCTGGGCTGCGAGAGTCCGACTTGCTGGTCTGTAAAGGCTTGTTTTGTTTTTGTTCAGGGTAATGGGCGTGGAGGTCGTGCCGAGCGATACCGTTCAGTCAGGGCAGCAGGACGGCCCGTGACACCCCCACAGGAGAGCTGACTCGGGAGGCAGCGGGGAGGAGGGTACCTGCACTCCATCATGGCTGAAAAAGAGCCGGGCATCAGCAACCGTGGCCAGCTGAAGACACGTGGCTTTTCCCCAGAACGGAGACCTGCGGATCAGCAGGAGGAAGCAGCGCATCTCGTCGTTCTTATAGCACTCGCTGAACACATCTGGACAGACAGAGAGGGGTGACGTACAGGCTGAGCGCACCTGGAGGTATATGGGCTAACACAGACACCGGCACAGTCTCTCTGGGTCCCCAGGCACACCCAGGCCAACACTCACCATGAGCCAGATTCTCAAAGCGGTTTGCCAGATCCTTCATGCTCAGCTTGCTCTCGGTGTCGTACTGCAAGCGAGAGAGCTCCCGCAACATCTTGCTGGCCGCCAGAGCAGATGTCACCGAGTCGCCCGCCTCAGAGGGAGACAAGCGCGGTTTAATACCGACGGAGATGGACAGAACGAACAACACAGTCCGTCACACTGAGCACGTCTGAGCACGTCTGCCAGGAACACAAGAACAAAGAGGCTGCGAGCAAGACAATAATTCCCAGGGGAGAATAAGGAGCAGCACAACGGACAAGCTGCAGTCCGGAGCCTGACTCAGCAGAGGAACGTTATCCGAGTGGAACATCCAAAGACTCTTGAGCCGAGAGCGAGGAAATCCCCACTCCCAGGACAGCTAACGGGGAACACCATTTGAACCCCAGCTGTGTTTAACCTTTAACCTCAGCTTCAGACAGACACAGAAACTCCCTGGACGGCTGAGCCTCTAACCACCCTCTAGTGGTCAGAGTCCCTGACAAGCAGCCAGAGGGAGCTGATGTGTCACAGGGACCTTATCCAGAGGATCGAACTGAGCGTGGAAACGTGGAGAAATATTAGCACAAAGGAGAGGCAACAGCACAGACCAACCCTTGCTCCGGTAACGGGGTGTGGTGAAATCTGCTGATAATGAGATTAATTACTTCTTATCATTATAAAGAGCGGCGTTGGCAATGCTGTAATTGAGCTGTCCTGCCAATAAACCGTGGAGAATTGAGATAACAGTAGAGAGGGCACTCTGTTCCAGCAAGGTCAGATAAAATGCACATTGTTAACAACAACTATTAGTAAAAAAAAATAACTAGTCACTGCGTGTATCAGCAATGGAGCCTCTTAAAGAGGGGTTATCCAGTTCAAATGTAGGTGAAATCCAATGTTCACTTTTTGGGATTTTATCAATCTGCATCATTAAAATTTGAACCCGCGGCTAAATGTTAACCAGGATCAGATCAGGATCTTTGATTCTGGTCTCAATTAACCTACAGACTGATTTAGTGGAGAGCCGAAGCACCGAGTGTGGGGTCCTGCACACAGCGGTACCGGGGGCTTCTCACCATCTCCCAGAAGAAGGTGGCCATCTTGCTGCGGTCCTGCAGCACCGCCCAGATAAACAGGTCGATCCAGGGGGAGGCGCAGCGGTCCTGGCGGTAGGAACAGTCACCCAGCAGGAGCTTGTTCATGCGCTGCGGAGAGAGAGGCCCCAGAGGGAGAAACCGCCATGAGCTGTCGCACAGTCCTGCTCCCTTTCCTTCCTTCACACGGCTTCGTTTGGGTAATTAAAGGGCTTTGACTAAAGACACCCAGGCGCCCCTCCACCTCCCCCCCGCCCTCTGGACGGGCAGTGTGTGAGTTTATGCACGAGTCTGAATGTAAATGTGCCTGTGAGTCTACGTACGCATGTGTGTGTCAGTATGTGTGTGAGACAGGAGTGTGAGTGAGCTTCTGCCTCAGGGTTTTGGTTTTGTGAACTGCACTGTTCTGAAACTTTCCTGGAAGAGTTCGCTCCCGACAGCGCAGCCTGACTAGAGCCCCCCGCTCCCACTGTGACGCCCCTGCGCCCCTCTGGACAGCTGGAGCGCGAGGGGGGACAGCGCCGTGCCCTGGCCGTACCTTCAGGGACTTGCGGCTGCCGGAGCTCCTGCTGAGCCCCAGGCACTTGCTGTAGAAGGGCTCGCAGGCGTCCCCCAGGAGGTCCCGCAGCACCCGGGACACCTCGAACAGCGTGAGCTCCCGGGCGGGGGCGGCCGCGGGCTCGGCGGGGGCGGGCCCGGGCGCGGCAGGCGTGTCCAGGCTGTGCAGGGAGCTGCCCCGGCGCTCGTGCCGCCGGCGGTCCAGCAGCTGGTGGGCCAGGGAGTTGACCGGCAGAGCGCAGTACAGCTGCTCCAGCCGGCCGTAGGTCAGGTAGTCCAGGATATTGAGGCCGTTCTCCGTGAAGAGGCGGACGAACTCCGGCTTGTTGTTCACGAGCGCGTCGGTCATGGAGTCCTCCAGGTCTGCGTACTGAGGGGGGGTGGGGACAGTGTCAGTGTCAGTGTCCTGTGTCTAGGCAGTGGAGATGCTGTTCTGCTCAACATTCACACGAGCATCGGTTTCACAGCATCAGCAGAGAAACAGTCTCCTCCCTCCCCCCTGTCTCACCTTCCAGACTACGTCCCCGTTGAAGAGCTCGCTCTTGGCGATGTCCACCCTGTTCCAGGCCACCGCCAGCTTGAGCTCCTCGATGTACTCGCTGGAGTCACTGGACTGGCGCTTGCAGGCTGAGAGAGCAGGGACAGGGGGGCCCCAGTCAGAGACCACAGGGACGGGGGGACCCCAGTCAGAGACCGAAGGGACGGGGGGGCCCCAGTCAGAGACAGGAAAGGACAGGGGGTGCAGAGGCGACCCAGTATAGATGTGTACAGTGTCTGTGTGCCTGTGAGGGCAGGGCACCGCTGGCCACCAGCAGCAGCACCCCGGTCAGTACAGGAGTGCGAGTGAGCTTCCGTCTCGGGTTGCTCCGGATTTGGGGTTTTTTGTTAATTGCGCTGTTCTGAAAGTTTCCTGGAAGAATCTGCTCGTGACGGTGCAGCTTAATTAGAGCCCCCCGCCACCCCCGTGCAGCAATCTCACCCCTGACCAGGGCCTTCAGGATGACGGTGTCGAAGTCCTCCGAGCCGTCCTGCTCCGCGTCGTAGACGTTCAGCAGCTCTCTGCTCTGCATGATCCGGATGACCTGTCCGGGAACAAGGAGTGTGACTGCACCTTCCAGAATCACAAGGTTCATTCATTTCAACCTTGAGTAACTAAGTAAATACCTGACCATGCACAGGGGGAGTATTGAGGGAACAGTGACTGGAGACTACGTTCTGCATCAGTATAGGCTGAGCACTGGGGTATGTACTGAACGAATATTGGCAGATTACAAGATTAGTACAGGTTGACTACTGGGTTTAAACTGCTTGAAGACTGGTGAAGATATCTGGGTGGACTTGATCTCTCCCTCACCCTCTCGGTGAGCAGCGCCAGTTTCTCAGTGCTGTGAGGAAAGTGTTTCTTCAGCAGCTCCTGCAGAAACTCGGCCAGCTCGTCCTGCTCGATGGATGAGAACTCCTGCAGCACCTCACACAGGAAGTCGGCCATGCCCCCCGTCCCTGCCAGCACCAGCCAGGGCGTCGAGTCCTGCAGGGAGCGATCCACCCTCTGGGGAGCAGGAGAGCGGAGGAGAGGGGCAGAGGAGTGTATGGCAGTAGAGGGAACCGAGAGAAAGACCTGTGTATCAGTTTCCTTTGCGGTGCTATTATAAGCAAGGCAGTTTAAACAGCAACAGACAACCGCTTGGCGTCAGGGAATTGAATGGCCTCTGGGGAAAACAATCTGTGAAACAGGAGCAGCACTGATATGACTCCTACCTTAACTCTGTCAACAAAAGAGGAGACAATCCGTAGGCTTCTCTTTCTTTGTGCTTTTGGTTGTAAAACGAACGGTGTAACTGCTGAACTATCTGTTTTGTAATTAGATAGTGGCTGCAGCTGTTCTTGTGGTTTATGAAAAATGGAAATACTGTTCCAATACCATACTGGAAGGACAAAGGACCCCGAACCACAGGGACAGCGAGTCTCTCACTGGGAGAGATGAACCCCGAACCACAGGGACA